CCTTTGGGTCCTATCAGAGTCCACCTTTTGCTCCGTAGGATCCTTCCCTTATCTGCCTGTTTCAGTGATTTCCCTCCGTTGCTGTCACCGTATCCGTGCTCAAGGTGTTATGTTCTAAACTCTGCCTCAAACCTTTGGTAACACGTATACACCAGCCTCACTGAGAAAGCCCCTAAGGTCTGGATTCTCAATAGGCATAGTAACCTAACCTGACACTGCAGATTCCCTTATTGCTGTGCGGCATGTGCACCGAGTAAATCTCGTGGTCAAGCCTTTAATTCATGGACAACGTCTATGAGCAAGCTTATCTTCTAATAGCTAACTAACAATGGTCACCACCGTTTCTTTCGCCCTTCTATCCCTAATGCCAAGTCTATGGCTTTTCTTGCGTGGCAACCTCCAAATGTGATGGCTCTACGTGAATTGAATAGGCTTATTGCAGACGTCTTCTCTTGTTTTCCAATTGTTCCTCTCTGGCCTCATTGTAAATTCTTTTCCTAACAGTAAAAATATTACCTTTATCCAGTCGTCTTCATTTTGCTGATATTGCTGCTGCCTGATCTTATCCGAGTTTGCTTAGGCAGTATGCAAAGTTTTCGCTAATCCTGAAATCTTCAAGTTTCCTATTCATCAAACTTCCTTCAGTCAGGATATCGATAGCTTCTTGGATCATGCGTTTTCTTGTATTTTCATAATATGCAGCCAGCCATTCTGTCAATTTCCACTCGATTTCATGCCCCTTCCGAGCAATGCATTCCACTATTTCGGATTTTTCTGTATCCATGTTTCGGCAGAGTCTTTGGTGTTCCTTGATTCGTAGTCTAATTTTTTCTCCTATTTTACCAATATAATTGTGCTCTCCGTTGATGCATTTGTTGCTATAGATTCCCGAGTAATCCACTTTGTTAACCTTCCAGTGAAGCATCGGCAGGCTGGTGAAGAGTGTTGTCTTTACTTTTGCTAGCACCTTTATATTCCATTTTCTTAGCAACGGTCGCAATTTTTGATTTAGTTCACAAGATGGCAGGAACATTCACTTTTGGTCGTCCTTCCGATTCCTGATCTTATTTTGTTAAAATCTTAGTTGAAATCTGCTCTTTATGACGCCTATGTTTATTTATATAAATTCCCTGGGGTACCTTAGTAAGGAAAATCCGAATCAGTTTCTCTAACCCCATAACTCAGCGTTCATTAGTCTTAAGCTTCTGATAATCATACTCCTCATTATTCCGATCCTTAGTCTGTAGTTGTGATGAGACTGGAAATCTAGTGTTATTCCCGCATGTGATTTCTTTCTCAATTGTTTCCTCTGGAATATTCCGTATGAGCGAATGGCCTCAACATCCAGGAAGTGTAGTCGTTTATCCTCCTCCACCTCTATTGTGTAAGGTAAGAAATTGTGCTATTGTAGGGGTAATACGAATATATAAGGTAGGTGTATACACCAGGATAGAAGGTGAGATATCACAACTGTTTAGCAGACAATTGGTCAAAGGATCGGCTTTAATTGTCTCCTCGACGAGTTTTCGTGTGGTGCTAAGAATGGGAAGGCTCATTGATGATGCCGGCGAAATGTCTGGGAATGTAGAAGTCCACGGTCCGACTCTGGAAATTCGCATTCACACTATGGACTCCGGACAATATTCGCTCCTTTACGTCTTCCTGCTAATATGACCAAGTTGCGAAAATAAGGTCAGATAACTTCTATTCAACGAAACCAGACAGCGACCATACAAAAGACCCTACCTCTTGGTCTTCATATTTTCGATTAAGTTCTAAATTACCTAGTTTTGCTATAAAATTGCTTTATTCGATTTGACTGAACTATACAATAAAAAATATGCTGATTGAAAAGCAATTATTATAGTATAAATGCGTTATAAACTACCCAACCTGTATAAACGATAACAAAATAAGTCACCCATGCAAGACTCATGACAAATTTACTTTGTCCTGTATCCACTTGAGGTGCCTTTGCGAGGTTTTCCTTTACACATGGCGGATTTCTGGACTCAACATTATCATCTTCCGCCGACATTTCTGATGCAAAAGAAGAGGCTGTTGTTGACGAGGAAGCGGAATGCGACCGGAGGCCTTCAGTCATTAGGCCCGGTTTTGCTTCACTCGGCGCAATAGTACTGGCTATGCCAACAGCAATTAAACCGACCTTATGAGGTCCAGAGGTCTGTACTTCTGCTGAAAGAGATAGTGGTTTGTCAGGATCCCGTTCACTTGGTCCCGGCAAGCCGGATCGTCGCTCTGCACAACTCAGGCTGGACTTACAAGAAGGCCCCTGTTGTCCGGCCGATTGCATATGTTCCTTCTGCGAGGAGTGGCGGCCAGGTTGGTGATTCGTAGTCTCAACTTTCTCTTTCCGACTATGGGGACGTTCACGATTACGATGGCCCCGTTGGCGATGATGATGGTGATGGCGATGGTGGTAGTGTTCATCCCCATGGCAGCAATGATGATAAAATTCATGAGGCTTTTTGTGACATCGATGATGATTGTGATGATGGTAGTGGTGGCCATGATGAAGACTGCACTCCGGCCTCATCTGGTCAAGAGTAACCCGATGCATGCCTGGCCTATTCGATATCGAGTGAAGGCAGGCAGCCGAAGAGCCAGACGAGCAGAAGGAGCAATTCGAGGCGTAAGAAGAGGATCGTGAACGAAGGCTAGAATTGGACGAGGCGGAGACGATAGAGGTGAACTCAACCATACTACAGACGCTGCCAGAACCAGATAGTGAAATGACTGCGGCCGAATTGGAACGAGAGGCTGAGAGGGATCGTGACATACCCGAGGATTCCAAAGGAGAGGCAGATCGGCAGCAGGCTGAAGAGAAGGCCAAGGCTCGACCGGCTCGTTGGCCAACTTCGCCACTTTGACCTCGACTCCAGCTGTGACTTCGACAGGGCAGGGAACGCAGCGTCGACGAAGCGGACTCTCTAGCCTCATCTGCTCTTATCCCTCTAACCTTTGCTTCGGTATGCCTCTTGCTGTGCGGCTTTCGCCCCGGTACGTCAGAAGCCTGAAATTGTCTCCTCGAAATTCTCACTTCGTCGTGCACCCTTGCTGGTATCGCCTCGTGGTCGGATCCAATCGTGCGCCTCTTCTGCCGCCCGCTCGACCAATCCGGTCCAGTTTGACTCTTCTGATCTCTACGCCTGGTCGTCTTCTGCTCTTCGACTGGATAGCCAAATTTCTCTCCTCTCTCTTTTTCCGCAGCGTCTGACGATGGGGAGCTGGCCCTCGAGGCCAGACCAGATAGTTCAATCAACTCGGTTGGTGGAATGTCAGTGACTGTAGGCAGTCGGTCTTGACTACCATCAGCTCTAAGGGCATCACGTTCTCCAA